CAGTTTTTAGTGTACAAATTTCTGCCTTTCTGAGCAACCAGCAAAGAAATCCAGCAGAAATCCAGCAGTCACAGAATGGGCACTAAATGTCTGTATCTCCTCTCTGTCACCTCACCACTCCCTTGGCTGCACGTTTGGTCCTTGCTGTTCTTAATTTCCCTGCTCTGTGGCTGGGAAGCTTTTCCCACACTGTCCCAGCTAAATCCAAGGGGAAAATTATTTGGGATCTCTGTCTCATCCCAGGGAAATTATTTGGGATTTCTGTCCCATCTCCTTCACTCCCTCAGGGGGGTTTTCTGAGCTCCTGGGCGCAGTTTTTAGGGTACAAATTTCTGCCTTTCTGAGCAACCAGCAAAGAAATCCAGCAGAAACAAAAATGAGATTTCAGTGATGATGCAGATTGCAAATGAAGCCCGTTTTTTGGGCAGTGTTGTTGCTCTCCCCAGTGAGCACTGCCCAGCTGCTGTCTGGAAATTATTGATCTGTTTTTCGAAGCTAAAGAGCCAATTAAGGTCTCACAGCCTGCAGAATGTGTTTTGTGTTCCCACTTAGAGGGCTCCATTTCCACTGCTCTGCCTAATTGAGAATTGACTGCAGCTCCTTCTGCTTCCTGTATTTTCCCTTTTTTTTTTTTTGGCTAAACAGGGATGAGTTCCCTGCTAGGAATTCTCAGCAGTGTTGTTTTGGTGCTGCTGTGGGAGGGAGAAGGCAGCTGATGACTCAAAAAGGGCAGCCAAGAAACAGATGGAAACTCTTTGTCATCACAGATGACAAGTGACTTTTTCCATGAGCAGTTTTAAACTTAAAGAGATTTAGATTAAATATTAGGGGAAAAAATCCCTCCCTGTGAGGGTGGGGAGGGGCTGGGCTGGAATTCCCAGAGAAGCTGTGGCTGCTCCTGGATCTCTGGAAGTGTCCAAGGCCAGGTTGGACATTGGGGCTTGGAGAAACCTGGGATAGTGGAAGGAGTCAGGGTTGGAACTGGATGAATTTTAATGTCGCTTTCCATTCTGGAATTCCATGAACTCTGCCATTTAAATGTCAATGTTTCACCTCGATGTGATGAGCCGCAGATTGCTCCTCTCCCTTCAGACCAGAAAACAACTGCAGAGCGAGGTTGGGCTCCGAGGAGATTTTAACCAGGCCCAAGAATCAGGAAAAACTTCTTTTTGGTGGATTACCTCTTAAATTCTGCAAAATCCAACCTGGAATTAGGGAGATTAACTTGGAGTCGAGGCAGCAGCCAGTGACTCCTCTCACACCTTGCTTTGATGGTGGCGTCAGGTATTCCTTTGATGTGATCCTGTTATCCTGTTTATTCACGAGGAATTCTCCACAGCTTCCTCAGCACTCAAATGGGAAAAAAAAAAAAGGTTTTATCGGCTCAGGGATCCCAGGGCAAGAAGAGCTCCCTGCAGTCCTTTTCTCTCCACCATCACTTTGAATTTCTGCGAGTTCTGCCACGTCCTGAAGGAAACCCCACACCCCTGTTCCTTTCCAGACCGCAGCAATTCCCTTTGGCAAAGGCCTGGAAATCGCTTCTGTTGTTGCAGGGTCTCGTTTTACAGCGCTCTCCTTCCTCCTGAACATCCATTTTACATGAGCTGAGGTTGTTTTGCCCCTGAGCTCCTGGCATCCGGCTCGTCTGAAAGGAGAATCGCCGGCGGGGTGGGGGATTTTTATCTCGGGATCCGGTTCTGCCTTCCAAGCTGAGCCCTGGCCAGGCAGGGTCTGAGGTGGATTCCTCACAGAAATGGCTTCCAAACCAAGATTTGGAGCCCCAAAAGGACATCAGGACCATGGGGATATTTTCCTGCCATCCCCACCAAAACCTGGGGGACTCTCATGGTGTGACACTCAGGGATCCAGCTGAAAAGCTGGAAAACTGAATAATGATATTTCCCATGCTCTAACAGCCGCAGAATCAATTTCCTTGATTCCCAGTTCCCAAAATCGGTGAAGTCCTCCCACAGAGCCTCAGTGGGAGGATTTTGGGGATGGCACAGCCAAGTGTCCCTGCAGAAGCAGCAGCAGAAGGTGGGAGGCTGGGTCAGCAGCTGAAATGATGCAGCGCCTGTGCTGCTGAATAATCAGCATGGAGGAGCCGGAGCTGCAGCAATTACCTGCAGCTTAAGGGATATTAAAGGCAGATCCTCAATAAACAGGCAAATCTCACAGAATTCCTCCCTCTCCTCGAAATAATCCTCTGTAATTGAGGATAAATGGCAGATTTGCAGGAAGACTTGGCATTAAAATGTTCCCCACAAACGGAGACGGGGCTGGGATCTCGCTGGGGAGAGGCAAACAGGGAGTGTAGTTATTATTTATTCTTTCATTATTTCAGGTGAATTGTAGTTATTATTTATTGTTTCATTATTTCAAGTGAATTGTAGTTATTATTTATTGTTTCGTTGTTTCAGGTGAATTGTTCTCACCTGCTCAGTGCTGGGACAGGCAACTTTTAAACTCTTCAAACGAGGCTTGTCCCACTTTTTAACGGCACAGGAGAATCCTGAACCCCACAGAAATGGCACAGGAGAATCCTGAACCTCACAGAAATGGCACAGGAGAATCCTGAACCTCACAGAAATGGCACAGGAGAATCTTGAACCTCACAGAAATGGCACAGGAGGATCCTGAACCTCACAGAAATGGCACAGGAGAATCTTGAACCTCACAGAAATGGCACAGGAGGATCCTGAACCTCACAGAAATGGCACAGGAGAATCCTGAACCCCACAGAAATGGCACAGCAGAATCCTGAACCTCACAGAAATGGCACAGGAGGATCCTGAACCTCACAGAAATGGCACAGGAGGATCCTGAACCTCACAGAAATGGCACAGGAGGATCCTGAACCCCACAGAAATGGCACAGGAGAATCCTGAACCTCACAGAAACGGCACAGGAGAATCCTGAACCTCACAGAAATGGCACAGGAGGATCCTGAACCCCACAGAAATGGCACAGGAGAATCCTGAACCTCACAGAAACGGCACAAGAGGATCCTGAACCTCACAGAAATGGCACAGGAGAATCCTGAACCTCACAGAAATGGCACAAGAGGATCCTGAACCTCACAGAAACGGCACAGGAGAATCCCGAACCTCCCAGAACCCTCTGGGAGCTGCTACACAAAACCACTGAGCGCAGCTGGAAAACAACACCAGGTTTGTTTGCAGCAAGAAGCATTGGGTGAAAATATTCACTTAAAAACCTCAAAGGAAACCCAAAAAGTGGTGCTGGAGTTGGGAAACATCCCACAGAAAGAGGGTGAGGTGGAAACTCTGAAGTTCTTTGAAGTAGTGCAGCGTGCAAGGAGCAGGGGACGCGGATTAAAACGTGATTCATAAAAGGTTTTTGCTCGGGGAGCTCCCGGTGGGTTTGGGAAGGAGCTCCCAGAGCGCTTGGCCAAACAATCCCTGGCTGGGGTAATTCCTCAGCTGATTGTTCCTGATTGCAGGGATAATCTTGCCTCTGTTTGGGATTTATTTAAACAAAACCTGGGTGGTTTTTTGTTGTGTGGGTTCCCAAGGTTTTTGTTGGCACGGCCCAGAGGAATGTCCTGCTCGGCCTGTGGGTTCCCACAGAAAACAGGGAATGCTCCAGAGGATCCATTGCCTCTCTGCCAGGCTGGGATTGATGGCAGCCTCGCCCTTGTCACAGCAGCTGGGCTGGGGTGACCCCTGGGAAGTGTCAGAGGTGGCATTGCCAGGGATTTGCACAAGGAAAGGGTGAGCTCTTCCCACAGGTCACTGCCAAAACTTCCCAGGGTTTGTTAATGCACAGAAAACTGACCCTGGATCCAAGGTTTGGGAAAAATGTCATTCCCAAACGCTCCCTGGGTTTGTTAATGCACAGAAACCTGACCCTGGATCCAAGGTTTGGGAAAAAGTCACTGCCACAGCGTCCCTGAACTTGTTAATGCACAGAAAACTGACCCTTGATCCAAAATTGGGGAAAAGGTCACTGCCAAACCTCCCTGGGTTTGTTAATGCACAGAAAACTGACCCCGGATCCAAGATTGGAAAAAAGGTCACTCCCAAACCCTCCCTGGGCTGTTAATGCACAGAAACTGACCCTGGATCCAAGATTTGATAAAAAGGTCGCTCCCAAACCTCCCTGGGCTGTTAATGCACAGAAAACTGACCCTGGATCCAAGATTTGGAAAAAAGGTCACTCCCAAACCTCCCTGGGCCGGTTAATGCACAGAAAACTGACCCTGGATCCAAGATTGGGAAAATCTCTGATGCCAGAAGTGACAAAGGAAATCCTGGAGCAGTTCTAAGAGTGCAAAGCTCTGCTTTGGGAGGGAAATGCCATTTTTTAGGTTTTTTTCCCATGTGGGTAAACCTGGGAGCCCAGGAAGTGATGGATCCAGGCAGGGCAGACACAAATACCATTCATCACCTCCATGCCCTGACATCCTCTTACACCTGCCCTGCAATTCAATCATCCCAGCCTCCTGTGAGCCAGGAGATCCTCCCAGAGATAGAATCACATTTCATCACAATTCATTCATTCATTCTTCCTCTGCCCCTGTGAAACCCACACATTCCTCTCAGCCTGGCAGCTCGATTTTAAAAACTCTCCAACAAACCCTTGGCTTGATTCCTCGTGTTCCAGCTCTGCAACATCCCCCAGGAGTTCCACCCTGAACTGAGACATAATTACACCAAAAGTTGTGCAGAGAGGACACAAAGCTGTGGCAGCTTTGGCCCAAAACCTGTTGTTGTATTGTTGTTATCTTGTTGTTATTACATTCTTAAAGAGTCCATCCCTTCTCTCGATGTTCCTTGTTGGCTGCACGTTCTCCATCACGTCGGGGTCACCACTGTTGTTGTATTGTTGTTACCTTGTTGTTATAACTATATATACATTCAGGCCCCCACAAAAACCCATCCAAAAAAAGCCAAAAAAAGCAGGAAAATGGGTTTGCAACCAGAACAGGCAGAGAGACAGGGAAAATCTTGTTGCAAAAGAAAAAGTGAAACTCTTACGCGTGCCTGGCCTGCTCGATGGGGTGCTGGTTGTCCAGGTAGTTGTAGCGGATGGTGTCCGTGGGGTTCCTGTCGGAGGAGCGCCACGGAGGGAGCTCCTTCCTGCCCCTGCTCACAGAAGGTTTCCTCTCTGGGACGTTGCTCTTCACTGGCTGCACGTCGATAACGATGAACTCGTCCTTGGAAGGAGTCTGATTGGAGAGGTGGAAGGAAGAAAATGAGTTTTATGATGAAAATCAGATTGGGATAAATTTAGAGTTGTAATAATTGGGGGTTAACTCAGAATTTTGGTCTCTGTGGGCTCCATTGTGGTCAGTGACAGAAAGAGGCACCAAAGCCCTATAATCCATATTGAGATGAGGTGAGGTGAGGTGAGGTGAGGTGAGATGAGATGAGATGAGATGAGATGAGATGAGATGAGATGAGATGAGATGAGCTGCTGTTGAGCTGTATCATCTTCTCTCTATCAACTATAGAGAGCCTGATTTAAGGCCAGACTTTGATTTAAATTAAAGGGCTCAGCTTTGAATTCAGGGCAGGAGATCCCCAAAAAGATCATGAGGCAGAGGGGCTGGGAACCAGATCCCCCAATTTTCCAAGTTGGGATAAATACCCGTGGAGGGGTTGTGATGGCTGGAGAGGCTACCTAGAACAGAGACCAGACAGAGTTAGAGAAATAAATCAGGAGTTAGAGAAATAAAACAAATATTTATTAAAAAGGCCTTGCAAAGATACACCTTGGGCAGTGCAAGGGCCTGGCCAAGGCTGCATCCAAGATGGATGATGGGTCACTCTTGGGTTAACTTTTCTAACCCACTGAGAAGCATTTTAAAAACTTTTATTCTATTTTGAGTCTCATGTGAGGGGTGAGACAATACAGGTTTTATAATTCACGCCATGACAATCAGAAGCCAATTATTTTTTAATCAAAATACATTATAAGTGTTTCTTAAGCTATCAACTTTTAGCACTTAAGGTATTTAGGTATTAGCACTTTAAGGTATTTTCAGTATTTACCATACTGTAAATACCTCAAAACTAATAATCTAAAATTACCCTTTGAGATTCTTAGTACAATTCGTCTTTCATAGATTTATTTCTCTAAAGTATCCGGTCTTATTTGTTATGTTATCTTTTGAAACTTGTTTCTAGCTCCATTTCTCTCTCAACAATGTCTGTTCTGTTCCATGGAATTTCTAAGTCACCATTTCTCATCTCAAATTTTGCACACAGATGTGGGAGCCTTCTGTCAGGCTTGGAGAATTCTCTACAAATCCATTTCTCACAGGTTTTCACACCTTTATAAGTTTTGGGGCGTTTGCATATTGGGGGTTAATTATTCAATTATAATTATGTAATGAAGTCACATTCTCCCAGTTTGCTCCCATCAATTTACACTTTTTGGGGCCAGAATGGATGTGGAGTTTGAATAGAAGTGTGTAATATCACAGGGTGGAAAACTTGAAGTTTGGGGTTTTAGAATATAGAAATATATATAAACAAGATGGAGGCTTTAGGGTGGTGGCTTCTTCTTCTTAATTATTCAATTACATCTTCAGGTAATGAAGTCACATCCTCCCAGTTTGCTCCCATCAATTCACACTTTTTGGGGTCTGAAGCTACAATGGTGACTTTGGTTTTTGGGTTGGCAAAGGATTGTTTTGTCTAACTCAGCTGTGAGGAGAACTTGCTAACACTCTGTATTGAGTTCAACACTGTTGGAGCCCTGGATGCTGAGAATTTTAAACTTTCTGTGCTGAAAGTCCAACAGAGAACAACAAGACCACAACAAGCAAATTTTAAACTTTCTGTGCTGAAAAACCAACAAGAGAACACTTTATTTGACCTGAGGCCTGGAGAAAGCTTCCAAAATTATAGAACTAGAATTATGAGGGTAGAGTTTGATTAGAAGTGTGTAATATCACAGGGTGGAAAACTTGGAGTTTGGGGGTTTAGAATACAGAAATATATATAAACAAGATGGAGGGTTTAGGGTGGTGGCTTCTTCTTCTTAATTATTCAATTACATCTTCAGGTAATGAAGTCACATCCTCCCAGTTTGCTCCCATCAATTCACACTTTTTGGGGCCTGAAGCTACAATGGTGTCCTTGGTTCTTGTGTTGGAAAATGATTGTTTTGTCTAATTCAGCTGTGAGGAGAACTTGCTAACACTCTGTGTTGAGTTGAGTTTAAACATTGTTGGAGCCCTGGATGCTGAGAATTTTAAACTTTCTGTGCTGAAAGACCAACAGAGAACAACGAGAGCAGAACAAGAAAATTTTAAACTTTCTGTGCTGAAAAACCAACAAGAGAACACTTTATTTGACCTGAGGCCTGGAGAAAGCTTCCAAAACTGAATTATTGAACTGGGATTGTGGGTGTAGAGTTTGATTAGAAGTGTGTAATATCACAGGGTGGAAAATTTAAAAGTTTGGGGTTTTAGAATATAGAAATATATATAAACAAGATGGAGGGTTTAGGGTGGTGGCTGGTCCTTCTTCTTAATTATTCAATTACATCTTCAGGTAACAAAGTCACATCCTCCCAGTTTGCTCCCATCAATTTACACTTTTTGGGGCCAGAATGGATGTGGAGTTTGAATACAAGTGTGTAATATCACAGGGTGGAAAACTCAAGAGTTTGGGGTTTTAGAATATAGAAATATATATAAACAAGATGGAGGGTTTAGGGTGGTGGTTGGTCTTTCTTCTCCAGGGGTTTGGGTGGTGTTTTGTAATTGGACAGCAAAGTCCACATTGTGGAATTTGAGTGATTATCGGGTCAAAAGTGAAAATAATTTAGAGGTCATTCCTTAATTGGATAGTTTAGCCTCAAAAGACCTTGTAGAGAAGGACAGTCAGCCATTTTGTAGGTTGTTAAACACTGCAGAGCTCACTGCTCGTGAGACTGCAACACAGACAATAAAAAATAAACATTTGAGTCTGAACACGAAATAAAATCTGGAGCGCTTCAATCCCAAGACAGAGGCAGAGGAAAGAAGTCACAGAATGGGCACTAAAGCACCAGTAGGACACTAGAGCAGGAATATCACAGGGTGGAAAACTCAAGAGTTTGGGGTTTTAGAATATAGAAATATATATAAACAAGATGGAGGGTTTAGGGTGGTGGCTGGTCCTTCTTCTTCTTAATTGTTCAATTACATCTTCAGGTAACGAAGTCACATCCTCCCAGTTTGCTCCCATCAATTTACACTTTTTGGGGCCAGAATGGATGTGGAGTTTGAATACAAGTGTGTAATATCACAGGGTGGAAAACTCAAGAGTTTGGGGTTTTAGAATATAGAAATATATATAAACAAGATGGAGGTTTTAGGGTGGTGGTTGGTCTTTCTTCTTCATAGATTTGGGTGGTATTTTGTAATTGGACAGCAAAGTCCACATTGTGGAGTTTGAGTGATTATCGTGTTAAAAGTGAAAATAATTAGGTGTTATTTCTTAATTGGACAGTTTAGCCTTAAAGGACTGTAGAGAAAGACAGTCAGCCATTTTGTAGTTTGTTAGCAAAACACTGCAGAACTCACTGCTCGTGAGGCTGCAACATAGCAAATAAAAAAATAAACATTTGAGTCTGAACACAAAATAAAATCTGGAGCGCTTCAATCCCAAGACAGAGGCAGAGGAAAGAAATCAAAAATGGGCACTAAATCAGCACAGAAAGTGGGAATTCTGGGAGCTGGGGCTGAGGGCAGCAGTACCTTGGGCCGGGTGAGGTGCAGCTCCCTCACCATCTGGATGTAGTGTTTTTTCCAGACCCCCTGCTCGAAGGGCGTGGGGCAGAAGTTGAGGAGCCACCCGAAACGCAGGCACTTCAGCATCCACAGCTGGTCCAGCTCTGACAGGTACTTCCAGTGCCAGCTCACCTGTGAAGGAATTCCCAGCCACTTTGGGGTTTAAAGCGTCCCAGGATTTTGGATATAATTCCCACATAATCTTAAATAAATTCAATTATTTTGTGCTGCTAATGCTCCATTTAAACCTTTGATTAAAGCATTTACACCTTTCAAGGCCTTCATGATGTGGGGTCCTTCCAACTCAAGATATTCTGTGATTCTAAGGAATTTTCTGACCTGTTGTCATGGAGAGTTTGAGTTGTACCCACATGAAATGCTGAAGTTCCTAAAGCAAGGCTTAGCCAAGTTGAGATTATTTTATATTCTTAAATATCACAGAATATTACATTAACACAGTAATAATGTCACTGAAAACTGACTTTTTAATTTAAAACCACTTTGGGCAGCATCTCACAGCATTTCAGATTTTTGGAGTCTTAATCATTTTGCTCCAAAGCCCATCTGGAATTTTCTGCTTCTCCACATCCAACACTTGACCTTCAGGCATTTTAAAAGATCTGTTTTCCTTACAGGATCAAGTGTTGTTCTTTGCAAAAGCACAAGCCAAAATCTCTCAAAGAATTAAGGGCTCTGCACACAGAGCAAGGTGTTTTAGAGGAATGTGATTTTCAGGAAGTACCAGGTTCCCTTTCTGGGAATAATCAGCCTTGAAAATGCCACTTTTAAAATGCTTTAGAAGAATTTGAAATTACTCATCAATTCCATGAATCTTGGCCAATCTGTCTTAATTTAGGATCTGAGGAACGATCATCAGTAAACATTCATCTAAGCCTTCACCAAAAATCAGTTTTTTCCTGGTTTTTTTTTGTTTTTTAACTGCTTTGTCCTGGCTTTTTGAAGCCCAGGCGGGTGCTGGCTTTTTCTACCTGTGCACATCGACAGAGGCTCCGTGGATCCAGGAAGGAGAAGATGTACAGGGACAGGACTCGAGGGAGCCTCGTGGTAAAATCCACAGCCTCGGTGGGGACTCGGGCCTGGAGCTGCTTGGCACAGAATTTCTGCTGGGACAGGGAGCAGCGTTCCAGCAGGTCCACCAGGATCCTTCTCCTCTGGCCATCTGTCCACTTGTCAAACTGAAGGGGAAAAAAAATAATAAATTAGGAGTTTCAGGTGCGGAGAAACCAGAAATTCAGCTTCTCAAAATAAAATGCGGTGAGGGAAAGCACAGGAGCAGCAGCTTCTGGTGACTCACTCTGAGGGAACAGAGCGCTGGGAACAAATGGAGAAGCTACATGAAAGAAACTCTGAAGCCACAGAATGATTTCTAATCCTCAAAGAATACAGGATGGCCTGGGCCAGGATTAATTCAGGCTCCTGGGACTGACTTCCCTCACAGAAAGAGACTCAGATGGGTTTTACTCATCTGAGCAGGCCCCAGTGATGAATTCATTGCTGATTCCTTCTCCCCTGATGCTTCCTAATCCTGAAAGGATCCAGGAGAGCCTAGACCAGGACTCAGTTATGCTCCTGGGACTGGCTTCCTTCATGGAAACGAGGAGACTCCGATGGGTTTTTACCAATCTGAGCAGGCCCCAATGACGAATTAACCTCTGATTCCTTCTCTGATACTTTCTAATCCTCAAAGGATCCATGACGGCCTAGGCCAGGATTAACTCATGCTACTGGGACCAGCTCTGAGACTTGGCTTCCCTCACGAAAAAGAGGAGACTCTGATGAGTTTTTACCCATCTGAGCAGGCCCCAATGATGAATTCATTGCTGATTCCTTCTCCCCTGACACTTTATAATCCTCAAAGGATCCAGGACAGCCTAGGCCAGGATTAACTCAGGCTACTGGGACTGGCTTCCCTCACAGAAAGGAGGAGACTCAGATGGGTTTTTACAGGAGCAGGCCTCAATAATGAATCCATCGCTGATTCCTTCTCCCCTGATACTTTCTAATCCTCAAAGGATCCATGACAGCCTAGGCCAGGACTCACTCACGCTCCTGGGACTGGCTTCCCTCATGGAAAGGAGGAGACTCAGAGGGGTTTTTACAGGAGCAGGCCCCAATAATGAATTTGTTGCTGATTCCTTCTCCTCTTCCTAATCATGAAAGGATCCAGGATGGCCTAGACCAGGACTCACTCGTGCTCCTGGGACCCACTCCGAGCCTTGGTTTCCCTCATGGAAAGGAGGTGACTCAGATGGGTTTTTATAGGAGCCAGTCCCAATGATTAATTCATTGCTGATTCCTTCTCCCCTGACACTTTTCTAATCCTCAAAGGATCCAGGATAGCCTAAGACAGGACTCACTTGTGTTCCTGGGAGAACATGAGTTCCTCAGAGAGTCAGCTTCCCTCATGGAAAGAGGGAGACTCAGATGGGTTTTTACAGGAGCAGGCCCCAATAATTAATCCATTGCTGATTCCTTCTCTGACACTTTCTAATCCTCAAAGGATCCAGGACAGCCTGGCCAGGACTCACTCACGCTCCTGGGACTGGCTTCCCTCACAGAAAGGAGGAGACTCAGATGGGTTTTTACAGGAGCAGGCCTCAATAATGAATCCATTGCTAATTCCTTCTCCCCTGATACTTTCTAATCCTCAAAGGATCCATGATGGCCTAGGCCAGGATTAACTCATGCTACTGGGACCAGCTCTGAGACTTGGCTTCCCTCATGGAAAAGAGGAAACTCAGATGGATTTTTACTCATTTGAGCAGGTCCCACTAATGAACTAATCTCTGGTTCCTTCCCCCCTGACACTTCCTAATCCTGAGAGGATCCAGAACAGCTTAGGCCAGGACTCACTCACGCTCCTGGGACTTGGCTTCACTCATAGAAATGAGGAAACTCAGATGGGTTTTTACTCATCTGAGCAGGCCCCAGTGATCAATTCATAGCTGATTTTTTCTCCCTTGATGCTTCCTAATCCTCAAAGGATCCAGGACAGCCTAGGCCAGGATTAACTCATGCTACTGGGACCCACTCTGAGCCTTGGTTTCCCTCATGGAAAGAGGGAGACTCAGATGGGTTTTTACAGGAGCAGGCCTCTAATTAATCCATTGATGATTCCTTCTCTGACACTTTCTAATCCTCAAAGGATCCAGGATGACCTAGGCTCCTGTGCTCCAGGACTAACACATGGGACTGACCTCCCTCATGGAAATGAGGTAAAAAACCCGATCTGAGCAGGCCCCAATGATTAATTCATTGCTGATTCCTTCTCCCCTGACACTTCCTAATCCTGAAAGGATCCAGGACAGCCTAGGCTAGGACTCACTCATGCTCCTGGGGCCAGCTTCCCTCATGGAAAAGAGGAAACTCAGATGGTTTTTTACCCATTTGAACAGGCCCCAGTGATGAATCCATTGCTCATTCTTTCTCCCCTGACACCTCCACAGCCCCCACTGCTGCAATCTCAGAGTGCCTCTCAATTTGTGAAGTATTTTTTCCTCACAATCCCCCCACATGGGCTATGAGGAGCGGCACAGAGGAAACCAAACGAGTAAAAATCCACAATGGCAGCAGAGTCACCAAGATTTTTCCACAGCTGATGGCAGGTACCTAAAGGGGAGGATTGACTCCTCAGGGATTGAATCCGTGTGGGAGGAATTGAGGGAAGCTTTGCAGAGCTGGACAAACAGGGCGGGAGTGACACAAGGACCTGTCAGCAGCCATCTCCTGGGAGGAGACAACCTCAGCCCCCACAGATTGCCCAAATTGTCCCCACAAATGACTCAAATTGTCCCCACAAATGACTCAAATTGTCCCCACAAATGCCTCCAGTGGCTCCAGTCTGGCTCCAAAGCCGCAGCCCCGGTGGCAGCAGGGAGGAACGGCCCTGGGATGGGTGGTGGCCATGGGCAGGAGCAGCAGGAATTCCCAGTGGGAAGGGCGGGATGGTTGGAGAGGGTTTTCCTGAGGGGAAATGTGGATTTTGCTCCATCCTGTCTTACCAAAGTGTGGAGAAGGGAAAAGAGGAAGTGTCGAATTTTTTCTTTTTAACTCTATTTTTTCTTTCTTTTTTAAATTTTTTTTCTTTTTTTTATTATTTTTTCTTTTTTTTTTTATTCTTTTTTTCCTTTTTTTAATTCTTTTTTTTTTGTTAAGGTCAGGATTAAATGTGTGAGATGGTATTTCTTGTTTGGACTCAGGTGTTTATATTAAAGTCTCAAACTGTGAGTTCTAGAGCACTAGGCTTTAACAAACTAAAAATGGAGTTGTATGTCTCTCTCTGCAAGGCTTTTTAAGGATAAACTGTTTAATTAAGAAATTATGCTTAAATTATTTTTACTTTTAACTTAATAGCCAACTCCCTGTGGCCTGCAATGCAGTATTTTATCTAATTACACAATACCACCCAAACCCATGAAGAAGAAGGATTAGTTTCCACCCTAAACCCTCTATTTTGCTTTAAATATATTACTATATTCTAAAAGTTTAAATTATAAGTTTTCCACCCTGTGATATTACACATTTCTATTCAAACTCCACACCCACAATCCCAGTTCTATAATTTAATTTTGGAAGCTTTCTCCATGGCCTCAGGTCAAATGCACTGTTGTTCTTTTGGGGATCAGTGCCTGTCAGCACCGAAAATCTAAAATTCTCAATATCCAAAGTTCCAGTATTGAAGGGTTTTAAACTCAAAGAGACAATAAATATAGGAATAAATATAAGATTAAAAAATGGATTAATATAACTGGATTAATATAATATAATATAATATAATATAATATGATATGACATGACATGATATGATATGATATAATATAATATAATATAATATAATATAATATAAATGATAGTTTAATATATTATAATATAAAATATAGATAATAAATAATATAATAATATAAATGGATTAATACAATAAAAAAGAGTTAATATAACTATACCTATAAATATAACTATACATATAACAATAACTATAAATATGGATATGAATATAAATGTAAATATAAATATGGATATAGCTAGAAATGGAACTAGAAATTTACTATTTTGAAAAATAAGAGAAAAGTTCTCTCAATGTTTTTTTTTAAATTATTATTATGGGTAAATAAATAGTTTAATGTCCAATGTCCCTTCTTTTCCCTGTCAGAATGAAATTAGGAACAGAATTAGAAATGCAGATTTTTTTTTCCCTCTGCTTTCTCCCCACCCCAAACCTCTGCTGAAATGGAGGACTGGCAGAATAATAATTTAAAATGTACTGCGCTGATGAATTTAATTGAGAAGCATTTTCTTTCCTGATCATTTTTGAAGAACTCCTCATTTATTTACTAATTTATTTTCCCTTGGATGAATTCCAGTGCTGGAGAACAAATTCCAGGGAGAAAATTGCTCTTCTCCTTCTCACCAACTCCTCTGCAAGACCTTCAGAAGGTCCGGATGAGGAGAGTGTGGGATTGGATTCCTGAGATTCTGGAGAGATGAAAACCCAAATGGAAAATGTGAGGGTGTTCTCAGGGCTCCCAGGAGGAGGGAAGAGGTGAGAATGTTGACTCTATATTTCAGAAAGCTTAATTTATTATTTTATAATATATATTATATTAAAACTGTAATGAAAGAATAGATTTCATCACAAGCTAGATAAAAATAAAAAAATTAATAAAAAATAATTAAAAACCCAAACGTTTGTGACTGACTGTGATTGGCCATTAAATAATTAAAAACAACCACATGAGACCAATCACAGATGCACCTGTTGCATCCCACAGCAACAAATAATTATTGTTTATATTTTGTTCTTGAGGCTTCTCAGCTTCTTAAGAGAAAAAAATATCTTTGAAAAAAAGATTTTTCAAAAAATATCATAACTGCAAGAAAAAAGCTCCCTGGATTTTCAGACACCGTGAACTTAGGAATATTTCCTTTTTTTACATCCCTGTTTTCAATATAATTTTGAATTCTAATGATTGGCAGGGTGTTAAGGGAAAACTGAAGGAGGACCTGGGGATTTAGGATTGGGAAATGTTCCCTGGGAATAAAATCAAAGATGAACCAGAGGAGGTTCTGCCGGTCCCCTCCTCACCTTGGCGTGGAATCAAAGGTTTGAAACCCCTTGAAATTGAAGATTTTCTCTGTCACACAAAGGGGGAAAACTTCTCCCATCCCTGACCCCTGC